GCTGTGTTCATCCAGCCCTGCACCTTGTTGTCTCGGATTCTCCAGCACCTGCAGTTCCTACTATCCCCATCACACAACCACTGCTGTTCTAACACTACCACTCCACTGGTTTATGGATTGGTTGAGGGCATACTTCTTTAGACTTTTCCAGCAGTCACCTATAGCATGATCACCACACCCCAAAACCATAAATTCTGACCCAAACCCCAACCTTTCACCCATGTATCCTGCTTGGCTATGTTATGATTCTGATTAGGTAGTTGGCACTGATTATACATTTTCAAGCTTATTGTTCTCAGGTTAATCAGGCTCCCCACAGCAATGTTCCCACTCCCTGCCTACAACTGAAGGTCCTCGTGGTAATTGTGACTGTGGTACCCATGACTCATGTGAAACAGAATGGCTGCTCAATTGCACTTATTTACTAATTTACTCATGCTATGACAGGTTACTCAGTTTGCTAATACTGAAGGAAATTTTTTGCAAAAAAATTTTTGTGATGGTATTTATGTTTCATTTCACAAAAATGCTCAAGATGCTTTTCTTCTCTTTGTAAATCAGCTTCTTTGTGGTTACTTAAACAATGAATAGGATCAGAGAATAGTTACAATACGGAAAGAGGCTATGTAACTCATCTAGCTCATGCCAACTGTTTGCAAGAGTAATTTAACTAGTGTCACTTCTCTATCCTTCCCTTGTAGTCCTGCAAATATTTTGTCCTTCAGCTGCTTATCCAATGTTATACTCTCCAGACTAAAGAAGAAAAATGAAAGCTTACTTATGTAAACATGTTATTTAAATTAATTTCATTAGTTCATTTGATTAATATTTTGAGTAATTGGTATGGTTCAGTCAACTGTGGTTTGTTCTTATTCCGTGAATATAATAATTGTGCAAATCAGTCCCAAATGTGAGATTTGCACAAGTGAAATTTTAATGTCAGAGACATTTCTGTTGATAATGTTCTAATAGTGCTGTTTTCTGCAAATAAAGCAAACATGGTTATAAATTCTGACACTGTGATGTAATTCCTCTGGGATTTACATGAAAGGAATCTTGTATATTTTATGAAGACTTGGGGCAAAGTAAAAGAAATTTGGAAAGGCAAGGACTGTTTAGGGATAGTCAACATGGCTTTGTGTGTGGGAAATTGTGTCTCACTAATTTGAGTTTTTAGAAGATGTAACGAAGAGGATTGATGAAGGCAGAGTGGTGGATATGATCCATATGGACTTCAGTAAGGCATTCGACATGGTTTCTCA